TTGAGTATCTTTTTATGATACACACGTTATCCTGTGAGTCGTTATATTAGGTAGTCTGCACTAAAGAAAAATGTGTAAATGTTATTTCTAACTAATTCTTGTAAAATAGTTTGATTTTGAACTATGGATTCTACCATAACGTGTAAATACCTAGATACACAATATTACCCATTCAAATATTATTGGGAATCGTAACCACCGACAATTTCACTATGCGGATCAACGTTAGTTTACTTTCGAAATAGTCCAGCAACGTAAGACAAATTAGAATAGGTAAGTGTTCTCTCGTGATATTGAAGCTAAAGAAGAGGATGTCTTTACGAGATACGAGGACATTTTACCCGAATTGGTATTAGTATTACAGTATAACTTATTTCCTGCATTTATAGTTCATGTATGATAACGTTGCAGTCAATAAAATACTCTCTTAATATCGCATAGCAAATTAGCAATTTGTAAATCTATATGTTGTTTTAGATAAAATGAAATAAATGCGAGATAATAAGTAATGGAGATCTCTTGCCTATCTAGATACCCTACCCTAGATGGCATTACTTTAAATCATGTACTAAATCGACGGATTACGGTGCCTTTGTATGACATTATGAGGACAGTTAATAATACGATTAGTAGGACAAGAATTCATTATATTTCTAAGAAATAAACACCATGAATATATACATGTACATTTCATTGTGATTGTATGTTGGTTTTTTAAACCAGACACTTGGTTGAGACAGTTTAGTTAAAATTCGATTTTATCCAAAGTTTGACTGATCTCCCTCATTATTTAACAGCTCGGTAGTTCGTGGACAAACCGTTCTTCTCAAAGGGGGAAGTGTAACAGTGTGAATTAATAATACAAACGATGATTCTCATTACCATTGTTATCCTCACTGTCCGACACTCCCATCCAAGTAAGAAATCTTTAGCAAACCCATACGCCGTTAATAGCCAAGTCTGAATATACCCTGAAGTAAATCCTGGATAAGATATGGCATTGTGAATTATCATAGTTACTAATTAACTAAGTCCATCATAATTCATACTGTAGGGCATTATTAAATTGCAAAGCCATTATAGAGATATACTTTGTGTATGCCTATATTAAATCATACTAATGGGAACACATAAATCATGACAGTATACCCTCATTTAGTTCTGAAAGGGAACTATTAAATCAAAAAGGCGAACGTGTAATTAGTGCTTTGCGTCACGACCATAACCTAGACATTGCTCTATCTAAATAATGGCTACTTGGTACATTTTTCATGTTCTCGTTGTTGATGCTCTACATGTACAGGGTGGGCCAAAAACGTCCATATTTTTCGCTACAACGGTTTTAATATTACACACAAATGTTAAAATCATACATTTATGAAAAGACAATTTAATTTCCAACAAAATGGTATATGATTGATTTCACACAAATGAGTAATTATCTTAGAATAACAACATAAATCAAATTCATGATTTATCAGTTGCTGAATACAGAATGCAAAGAACTGACCAGACAGATGTACCCATATGTCAGCTTTTGGGATATAATTCTAATTATATACCCGTAAGGTCAAAATTGTTGATTTATGTATCAAATGAAAGCAAAATGATTTACAAATACAATATCATTGAGTGATTATACCATTTTGATAGGTATTGGTAATATAGCCTAAATAATATAGTGAAGTTTATATGTAATAGATGAGTATTTACTCATTTTCAAGACATATATGCCTATTCAAGGCTAAAATCATCATGTAATGGTCAATAATGATGTTGTACTCCTATAAACTTAACTCGACTGTTACTACCTCATGATACGGAAATCACCATGGAGTCACCAATAGCCATTCATATTTCATAAATCATACATCATTTTGTTTTAAATTGAAAATATTTCTTATGATATATGATTTATGGATATTTCTAACATATCAGCAAAGATATTACTAAAATAAAAGCATGTACGTTTTTCGGCCCACCCTGCAGGTGCAAAAATCTGAAATATAAAAGAACAGACCATAAATATCCATCACCTTTGAATGATGAACAGAAACGACCATCAATACCTTTCTCTAGCTAACGATTAATTGACATGACTTTATTCTGTTGGCTCGAGGGGTCTAGTTCGAATCGAGTAGAAGTCGTTCTGATTTGACTTATGTCCATTTTCAGATAATATATCATATGTTCTGAATCATTTGTATTCCGATTCATCCAATAAAATCAAATTAATGTTTCCTTTCAATTCGTTTTACCAAAGAAACATTCGAAGACGTAACGGGGCGTGATGACAAATCCGGGAGCAAATGGTTGCAAAATCAAGATATTTATGAATACTTGAATGTTCAATTAATCCACGAAAGTTGACTGTTCCAAGTATTTGAATACACACCAAGCCAGATATGATAAATAGCAAATGGCTGGTTGTAATGGACAACTCCAATCAAATTCACAAAGTTTATCAATAAACCACAGAGCAAGTTATTTCGTTTCTAGTTCAAGGCAAATACAACTGATGTGTTAACATGATAAATTCCTTCATTTTGACAACTTAGATAAATGGCGACATCCCAAGATTATTGTACCGCTAGAACATAGTCCATTAGACCAAACCAACGATTGACTTTTACCACAAGCAAAATTAATACAAGTCAGTGATTAATCCGTTGCCAAGCTGGATGACGAGAAGCAAAATAATGTACCTCGTTTTAACAATGAATACCGGTATGTCTGACTGCCAAAAAGATTCCTTAAAACGTCGAGTGTTTCATAGTTGTCGAAGGAGCAACAACAAAACATCGTGACTTTGTGTCTCAAATAGAATTGAGTATATTTAAAAGTCTACCTTCTTTTTGAGCCAATATGGCTGTTTATTTTGATGATAACGCATGCGCACAATCAAGAAGAGCCCAAAATGCAGACACGCCTCCATTCTCTGGGTCTATGACTAACACGTCACGCCAAACGTCACGTCAAATAATCACACCGATATGATATTCAGAAATATATGGTCGATTCTCATCAAACAGAGAATAAAAAGATAAAAACGGAATAAACAGAATAAACAGATAAAACCCTATCTACTATTCTATATAATGTCAGACTGTTCTCTGCTGATTGTTTATTTCGATCTTGATTGATTACTTTTACACTCCAAGTGTTATTTTTCATGTTATCTATCCTCACAATAGAGTTAATCTCATCTTAATCAATCAAGGTATTTCATATGAAAGGACTATTGCTGGTCGAGATCGATCTCCATTCAGTATTCCATTTTGAAACTACTGTTCTGTCGGATAAACGCATTTTTGTGAATACCCCTAAAATGATTTATGTGTATACTACAATCGTCAAGGGAGAGATTAATGATCCCGACGAGCGAAAATGTATATTTAGAGCTGATGGTAAAACCATGACCCAATAGTTCATACCTCTCTCTGCTGGTAGTCATTGGGTTTTTACGAAGAGGATGTATGCCATGATTCACAGTTGACCTTACAATTACGTTTTTTTGATATTTTTCACCGAAACTCATGCTAATTTTTGTGCTAGATAAGATACAGTCTAGTCACGGGGGTCCAATACCTTTAATTTGAATTTTAGACCTACCAGATGTTTGAAAAACCGTTCTTCTTCAAACTTGATCCATTCGAAACAAAACAAAAAAGCCTTTCTCTTGGTACATCATTCTGTTAACACAGAGTCACTACTTTTACCGTTTGGCTCCCCAGCTAGCTGTGAGAAGCGTTAGCTTCTGTAAACCCCGTGACAGTAACCAGGACCAACCACTCAGATTTTTTTAATGAATAGAACAGAATAAATACTTTCCCCAGGCTCGTCAACGGAAATGACAGAGGAAAGTGCCACTAAAAATTAGTTTCTTATGATCTTGATGACTTTGCTGAATTAGAAAACATTTTAAAGAGAATTTCGAAACCAAAACGTTGCTTCGCGTATGCGCAAGGAGAAAAAATGCACTCCCCTAAAAAGCCTCATAGATCTGATAAAATCATATAGATGAAGATACTTGTTCATGGTCTGGGCGAACCATCATCACATCTGCACTTCTATTCATTTTACTTTCAAGGATAACCCAATGTGAACATCATGACATTTTTGTGTGAATTATTACGGAATTCAAAACCTTTATATCCATTCTATCTATAAATTAATCCTTAGGGGCCTTTCATGTGTTAATCTCGCCATTAGGTAACTGATAACTTATCTTAAGGATGTTCCCTGGTCAGATAGGAAAATATTCAATAGTATTTAACTTTTTCTCAAAAATGGTTTTCTGGGATTCTCACGGGCAACAAAGAATATTAAAACTTTAAAAACCATATGTTAGTGTGCTTTTTTCTGAGCAAGAGGCCTCTAAAGTGTCAATATTTGACAAAAGTGGGCGTGGCACTTTCTCATTGAAACCCATGTTAAAAATCAGGTTTTCACCCCAAAACACACTTTTGAATATTTAACTTTTTCTTAAACTCACAGAAACACTTAGTTATGCTATGTACTTCACATTTTGAAAAGAAAAATTAGGGGTTGGTGTTCATCGTTTTCAACTTCGTCCAGGGAACATCCTTAAGGACTTAATTGTTCAGAGGGGGAACTAGTATTATCAGGAAATTATCTCCCTGAAAAATTACCTTTTGTAAGAGGTGACATTAATTCTAACTTCGTCCGAATGAGATTTGCCAACTTAAATTGTATAATTAAGCCCATGGTTCTATATATGATCTACATGATCTATGCAGCTTATAATTGACATGGGTGAAGTAACTGGCAGTTGCTAACAAGAATGTATTTAGATGATCAAAGTAAAGTACAAATTTATATGACATGTACGTCATGATGAGTTATGACATATATGTATGTTTTGTTTAAAAATGTCTTAATACATGTCAATCAACTCGCATGTCAACCATTTGCATGTTCGGGTTACCCTGTAATCTAAAATGGCATATCGATGATCTTATTTATTACTCTATTTCCAGGAGCAGTGTTCATATGGAGTTTGCACACATGACATACCCAAAGACACACACGCATTAGAACTATTCCAATTCTACTATGGCGTCGTCGGGAGAGGTTTCCGGTGTTACTACGACCCGAATCTTGATCGCCACGCCGCCTATCTAGACAAACCCAACCCTCGGACAGTAATTCACATGGTCGCGTGGCCGACGGGATTTCTCTTAGCTGCACTAAGTGTGTGTGCATTTATGCTAGTCAGCCACGCAAGGACAAGATGGCGACTGTGTATGTGGTACACAGAACCCGACATTGACGACGATACAAAAAGTATAGAGTTTATCACATAATTACAAATAGTACCAAGAGATATCAGAAAAGGCTTGCCATTTAATATAATTTTCACTCAGAGTTTTGTAAAGTACCAGTTGACAATTTCGGTGCGGACCATAAGCAGATAGTTGTGTTTTTATTGATGGAACAATATCTGGATTTATTTTGAAGATTCCCCGTGGAATGAGAAATCCGGAACAATACACAAATGAACAAAGAACGCATTTGGCGCATGGCAGGGCGCCACGGATGATACAATGACATATATGTGTTATTGGTATTGATTCAATGGCCATCAATGTTATCTTCTTTTGAAAAGGTAAAATGCTTTAGATGAGCAATGATACCTAGGAATAAATAAATGATATCATTTTCAATCTGATTACAGGATTACATTATTCAACTTAGAGTCAAGTCAGAATTAAATCAATAGGGAGTTTAAGCTGCTTTTTTCACAACCTACACGTGAACGGAAAATATTTCAGCGATGCATTTGATTGGGCGATTGGTCACACGTATAGGTTGGCGTTTCGATTTTATATGCAAGCTTTAACTCCCCAATGCCAAAGGAACCGGTAACCGGACAGGGCATGAGTTGCCTAGAGGATGAGTTGTCCATAAGCCCAAAGAACAATGCATGATGACTGTGGAGAGGTGGCTGAATAGCTAACTATGATCGACATCTTTTAATGTGACATATACTAGTAACTCATTTGGATCAACGTTGATATTGATGCAGAAAAAACAGCCATTCCAGGATAATAAACATTAAACTCATCGGTGTTTTATCAAACACAATTTAATAACGTGAATATGGAATGTATTAAGCATTGAAAAAGAAGATTAAAACTACAGGATAGATCTATTTATGGTAAAAACCTTCTTGATAAAACATGATCCAAAAGCCAACAGAGAAAAATCACATCTAGCTGTGGAAATATTAGGTTCAACCATTGTATCAATATTGTTATATTTTCAAAGATAAGAAAGTAAGGTGTTAAACTACATCTGCTGTAAATCAGCAGAAGTGGATTATGCTTTTGATATTTGTAATAAAGATACCTGAAATCAATTCATTCGAAATAAGCAACAGTTTTATCACAGGGACTGTTGTTGATTTCTTGCGTTTTTTGTAATTTATTCTATTTATTTATATCTATATAGTAATTACAAAGATGACCCCTCGGTCGCTTTACGGCATTGTAGAAGAGCAGGTAAAAGTAAATTAATATGTTTTTTTATTTTCTAATAGAATAAATTACATTTAACAATTCTTGCGTTTTGTGAATAAGGCAGCGACGTTGCAATGCGGATTGATGTTGATCATGTGACACATATAAGAAATTGGATCTTGACTGTCGCACTTTGTTTGAAATTCTTCTCTCTGTTATTGATCATCACTTATGTCCACTTATATAGTTTAGTTTCATCATCGGCCATTTTAAGGGGTTTTATCTGTGTTATTTTCTCTATGACTGACTCGAACGAAATGCTTTTTGAAGATAAGTTTCAAATACATACTACATGGTTATTAATAATCTCAGAAATAAAACTGCAAAATATCATCAACATCATTTGGCTGCTTTACCCTTAAACCTTTTTTTCACAATCATTTATTTGAAAGGTTATTTCCTTTTTTGAGTTTGGCTCGGAACCACTATACTACACATCCTAGCACATCATGTTGACATCTCACTTTATGTCAATTGTAAACCCATTGAATGAGTTCAGATCAAGAGAGAAGTGTCATGGTATAAGAGCTTCTTATCTTACTTGTTGAAGAACACAAAGATCTGATGAATTATTATGAGATCTAACGTCTAGTTGTTTAATAATAGATTTGCAATTTTTAATTAAGATTAATTTTTTTCACGATAAGCTGCCTGATTGATAATCCCACGTTCTCCTCGAGTGTCCCTTGAACGACATATCCGAGTCAATGTGACATTCTAAATCTACGATCTCTCTCTCCCTTTTCTCATTAGCAATCTGCTTGAGATTAGTAGTTATTCAAAAAAAGAACTCTTCTGATTAATCTAACGTTAATGATAAACTACCTCTCTTTCCGTTCCTTTTTTTATGTTTCATATTTGGCAATTTTTCGGGCACTATTTTGGAAAAAAATCACAAATAAAACCTTGGCCAGGTTTGAAATGTATGAAAGATCTCTGAATGTACTGTTGACTCTGCAAGTTCAATATCTACGAGAAAATATTTCAATACAAATTATGTGCTACTCCAGTATTAGACCCCACTTAGGTAGCAACACATTAGAATGAAATGTAGTTTATTATAAAGAATAAACAGTTGTAACACAGAAGAGTGCATTTTCTATTGTTGACACATGGCAAGCTATCCAAAACCAGTGTGCCACAAAAGATGATTGACTGCATAGAGTGAACTAAAGCTTAACTAATTACGTACTTCCTATTCACCAGTACACTTGTTGAACATTATAGGAAATACAAAAGGAATCTAAATTTAAACTGTACCTGAACTGCTACTGTTACGTACAGTGCTCTGAAGCTGAATCAAATTACATCCACTGACTTCTCAACACACTTTACCTTGTAGTCAATACAGAAGAAATTAAATTTTCCTAAAATTATATCATGAGCCATTTAGCTTTCATAAGAGTCAGTGTGAGGTTAGAGTTAGATGAACTATTCGTACTGAGTCTAGGGGAACTGATAGCCTCTGGGCAATGTCCTCGACTATTAATGCTCCTAAAACCCAGTACTCATAATTTACAGTTTAACAGAATGGGTCATAAGGCTGCAAGGAATACACAGAACGAACTGTGAAGAAGATATGACAAGTGTCTGCATTGTAATATTTATGAAATCCATTCTGACAGTAATTGCATATCCCTTCTTGCAACAGATATGCGTGTGATTACTAAAAAGGAAATTGTCATGGAAATGCTTGATAAAGGAATTTTATTCAGCTTACGATTATTTAGTTTATACTTAGTTTATAATTGTGAAAAATTCTAACGAAAGAGCATCTACCTGTATTCCTGACAGTGATGAATATTTTATACAATAAAAGTCTCTGGTGTACCATAATGCGAATAATATACACTGACATCAATCAAGTTATGCATAAACCCACTGTGCATATGAAAAACGACATAAAAGTTCAGTATCATTTTTCAAATGCTTTCTTACAAATGTGTTATTTTTCATGCTGTTTGCATGGGATCGCGTGCCTCTTCTGGAACATACTGAATAGATTCGTTTTGCCAAGGATAGTCATTTTTATTTGCAAAATCCTTGTGTAATACTGGTATAGCTGGTTAGTTCAAAGGTGTGAAATACCTGATTGAAACATAGCAAGAAACATACAGTAAAACATGCACAGATGCAAGTAATCCGAGTTCACTGCAACAATTGATTCCGTGATTTATTTAATTGACAAACTAAGTAGTCGAATACATTAATTAATAATTTCGAATTCCATAACCATCTATGTTGAATTTTGAATCTGAGGTACCATATAGTTTGCGCTTTACATCAGATGCGCATCGCTACGTAGTATCTCAAATTAGATTAAAAGGAAAATAGATTACTATATCTAGTATTCAAGTATTCGACTCAATATCTCTTAATTTGTCAATTAAATGAAACAATAGAGTATCAAATGGTGGAACTGCCGGGTATGTTGAATTTGAACCTAAACTGTCACTGAGGTACCATGTGATTTGCGCTATTCATCTTGCGTGCATCACCACCCGGTATCTCAAATGACCGAGCCAAATGAGACAATAAGTAAACACAGATTCTTTTTTTCTGAAAGTAATTCAATTTCCAATATCATAGTAACTTACTTCAATTTGTTAACAATGCATAATCTGAAATTCGTTCCTTTTCAAGTAGACTAATGATAAGACAATAGTTTTACGTGATGGGCAAATATTTCATTCTCTGGAGGGCAATACCTGTTCATCTTTCAATGATTTTTGCAGTGTGCATATTGTCCGCAACCCGTAGGGCGAGGGAAATGCATGTTGCAAAAATCATTGAAAGTGCAATAGGTATTGCCCAAACATAGAATAAAATATTTGTTTTATCATATCATTACTATACAGTGTCTACAATCACTTTGTATTTTAAAAAAATATACAAGTAGAATATTTGTTAGGATCCATGATCATGTATTTCAATCTATAGATATAAACATTAACCCTTGTGATGGTTTCCTGCACATTATGAGCAGTGCGTGAGTAGGTACATTATCCTGATGGAAAAAATTAGAGTTTGGCTTAATGGTTAAGTTTAATCAGCTTACCGCAGGGCATAATACTATTTGTTCTTTTTCTGGCCCACTGGTACAGCATTGACCAACAGGGTTACAGAAATGTTTATGAAAACTATGAACATCAATTTAAATAAGAATAAAAATAGGGATCCTTCATTTGCACATATTGATAGATTATTGTAATGGTGAATTGTGTGACGTAAAAAGTGCCCGCCTACCCCAAAGCCAAATTACGATAGTAACCATTGACCAATCAAATTAGAGATGCTGATATTCTTAGAATCAATCAGAAAATATTTTTGATACATTGTGTGAAAATTCCTTGAGAAAATATCCGAATTTTTGAAATTAGAGAATTTTGCGTGAATTTTGAATGACCTGGTACTGAACCGGGAGTCAAACTCTCCCAGCCGTTACGTAATAGTAATGTAAAAATACTATTACACGTCGCACGAAACTGGGGACAATTAGCGTAACATTATGGCGTCAAAATATCAAAACAAATTTAGGCGGGCAGAATTGGAGGTCCAAAAAAAGTTTAATGTACAGTTGCAACATATTCTCGAAAATTAAAACTCCCATCTTTGGGATTTTCATTTATGCAAATTAGCTCATTTGCATATTGATTGTGACGTCATCACTGCATTATTTTGCGTATTTTTTGATAAACGAGTATATTTATTTCAGTGTAGTAATGTACAGTTGCAACATATTCATGAATGTGGTACCGTTGGAAAGCTTGTGGTGCCTAGATTTGAGATCCACTTGTTAGCAATTACAAAATGTGGGCCGAATGTGCTAAAATGCCCGTTTCCATGGTAACCACAAAAATATGGTTAATAAGCAGAAAATTGTTTTTATGCATAACTTTACTAATATTGCTCCGATTTTAATGAAATTGGTATCAAATTAAAGAGAATTAAAACTCCCATTTTTGAAAATAACATTTATGCAAATTAGCTCATTTGCATGTTGATTGTGACGTCATCATTGCATTATTTTGCATATTTTTTGATAAACTAGTATATTAATTTCAGTACAGTAATGTACAGTTACAACATATTCATGAATTTGGTACCGTGTGAACGTTTAAAGTGTCTAGTTTTGAGATTCACTTGAAAGTAATTACAAAAAGTGGCCCAAATGTGTCTAAAATGCCTGTTTCCATAGTAACCACAAAATAACAGTGTTAATAATCAGAAAATATCTTT